GATGTACAGATGGGGATTCAAATACTCAAACAAGGACAATATGAATGGACTCTGGACAAGGATGGTGTGGAAACGTCTGGATTGCATCGACACTACACTGGAAGTCGACACTGCTGAGGAGCTGCAGGACACCACAACGCCAACAGCAGAAACAGCTGATTAGACGTGAGTTGTAAATTTGCTACATAAGGGCTTATTCGGCAAACGTGTTTCCATCTCCCATTTAGAGCATTAAATCTTTTTCGACAAAGGCAAGAACCACCTCATGGGAGCGTAAAAACTTTTTTGCAAAATATATATATATTTTTTAATTTTGCCATCAACCTTTTCTAATGCGATACTTTAAAATGCGTATAAAAAAATGTTGATGCAAACACGGCTTCTGTTGTACTTGAGTGAACCTGCAGCTGATCCGGTCTTCCCATCTGAATAAACAACGCATTCTCATCTCAATGCGTCATAACTGCAGTTTCAGCTGCCATTTAGGTTTAAAAGAGCAGTATGTCCAGACTTTAAGTCACTTACCATGATGCTGTAAGATCACATTACGAATGCAGACCTTATTACAGTGCTACATGCTCACCATCATAAATGTGTCTACGTTTCAGGCCATGATAAGGAATTCTCTGTTTGCCAGTTGGACAAGGTGGAGATTAGTATTACTGATGGATACATTTGTTATCTTACGAAAATATGTACAAGATTTCAGTTGTAATCACTTTGTGGAAGGTCATAGTTTACACTTTATGTGGTGCCTGTGTAATTGTAAATCATCTATTTTTAAATATTTTATCTATTTTACAGTATATTGTATTGTGTTTTTTTTCTGTTGTGAGGTATTGGGTTGTAATAAAGGGAATTGAATTGACACAGGTGTATTACCAGTTTAGCCTCTCTATTCCAGTGAGAAAGCCAGAGATAGAAATCAGCAATTGTTTTTTTTGTATATCAAGTTATTAACAAGCAAACAATAGAATGTTGGAAATTATCTAATGTGATCAAGATGTCCAAATTTACAAAAGTGAGTTATTTGATGGCTGAACAGTCTGATTATTGACTTGACAGGTGTATACAGACAACTTCATACTGATTGAATGAGGGTATTTATTCGTAGCTAAATGCTTAATAAATTAGGATAAATAAGGTAAAGAAACAAACACGCAGATGAACTGCAGATATTGTAATTAAATTAACCTGATGTTATTGGTAATAGTGAAGTATGTGATCTGATGGTGAAACAAAATGGTAAGAAGATAAGTAACGGTAGGACACAAATTCTCTAAATAAGTATCAATATATATTTTTTTCAACATCAACTCTTTGTAACAGCAAAACCTGTTGTTCAGCCTTTTGTTTTAAAGCCCTGGCAGAGACAAGATGCTCCAGCTGACTCTCTGGCGCAGCGGGAGGTGCAGTCAAGCTGCCAGGTGGCTCCTGGAAAGTAGTAGGTCTCTGAGCCGAAGAGGTCTCCTGACTTGTCCGGCAGTCTTGTTTCAGGGCCGACAGCAGAAGTCCATACCAAGATGTTGCAGACACATTTCCAAGAAGATGTGACATTTTTTCTGTTCTTTTTTTGCGTTAGAACACAGCAAAAACTTTTCAGTTTAATACTGACACATTGAAAATCTCGCTGACAAAATAGTTCAACTAAAGAAACCAAACACACTGTGAGCTCAGAGGTGTGAGGTGCAGCATAAGCTAAAATGACAGTGCATCTCTATTTGTGACTTAGCCAAGGAGGAGAACTTTTTATGCTGACTTTAGTGATTTAAATTCAGGGTATAGGCTAGCCTATGTAAATTCACATAGTCTAAAATATTACTATGGTCAATAAATCCTGTTTCAAAACAGCAAATTAAATCCAACATAACATAATTGTAATTCTTTCACATGATCCGCTGTCAAATGATGCTTGGATGGCAGCAGTTGCTGTCAACGCTGCTTAAACATGAATGTTATTTTTCATGTCATTGCCATCGCCATTGCCTCTTATTTAGCTGATGATGCACTTCTCTTTATGAACCTGGAAATCATAATAAATACAACCGAAAAAGAATCACTGAAACCTCCAGTTTCCTCAGATTAATTTTAAATAAATAAAAAATTGAGGATTTTAGACACCTATTTTGACTGTAATTACTGACCTACAGTTATATCTACCTTTAGTGTACTTAATGACAATGATATGAAATGACCCAGAAGCTACATAGCTGTTAATATTTGTACCTGCAGTTGAATCTGGATTCATGTTATAGTAGTCAGAGCTCTCCATGGAATCAACATGTATTCCTGTTACAACAATATGACAAAGAAATTAAAGCTGGCTTTTACACAACACACAAAAAATCTGAATACCAATGTATATATTTGCATGGTTTCATGAATTGGCGTGATATCTGGCTGGCTATATTCTTTTGGCCATTTGGTCATTTATGTACATTCATTTCTGTTTGAATTACCAATTTATTTTTGATGCTTCATCTTTTGTGTACTAATTTTAATCACTCAGTTAAAGTAAAATAATTGTGCACTGCTTTGCATACTGTACCACTTCTATTGTTTCCAAAGCGTCTGATTGTTTCATGGACACAAATATCACCTACAGGTCAAAGGAAAGGAAAAAAATCAAATTAGTCACTTCAATTAAGTTTGAGACTGGATGAACATGAAATATGTAGTAAAGAATGTACATAAGTAGTGAAATGTAAAAGCGAGTACAAGTAAAAAGTTAATCATTTATTTTTAAGATGAGCTAAGAGGGTTGTACCAACCTGTGACAACATGTATCTGTGAAAACAGATAATACAGTTAAAACTTACATTACGTGATGTTTTGCCAACTGAACCGCTGATCCATGTCATGAAATCATAATTCCTTAGTCATTTTAATAAGCAGTGAGTAAATTATCTAACATTAACAGTAAAAGGTCTTGGACTTTTTGTACCAATACAGCAGCAGTGGCAGGGGAACAACCAGAAAGATGCCAATAACCAGCCCAACGATCAACAGCACAGGAAATGGAGAGCTGGACGCTGCAATAATAAAGAATAAGTATTGTCATGACTGAAAACAGATCAGTGATCTGAAAAAACATAGAACCAAAACATTATCAACAACATTATGTGACCTTTGTACTCTTTTCTGATTAATCCTGGTAAAATATACACTGAGGAAGGTGTTTGTGTTTTTGTAGGCGGTAGTCTCCATTTTTATTATTGACTTCTATCATCGGGATTTGGTTTCAATAAACTGTGGCAAACAATGTCTGCTAGTTAAGGATCTGAATCCTTTTGTCAATGTGATATTTCATTTTTTTTTGTCTTTTTTAATACATTTGCAAACATTTCTAAAATCCTGGTTTGACTTTATCTTCATTGATAGTAGATTGAGGAGGGGACAATAAAAACATCTCCCAAAGATCTCTGAGGGTCTGAAAAGGTAGGCAGCTGACCAAACTGTGAGGCCTATGAGAGGGAGCACACAAACTTTCAAAAATTAAAAAGTGCATTGGACCAGAACTGTTTACTGTTTGTGTACCAAAAACACTGATTTGACACCGTTTAAATATCTTAAGACAACAGTTAACATGTCAATTTTGGGTGCTACCACTTCAGTGGTTTCTGAGGGGGAACTCATACATCAACTCATCCAAACTCACATACAAAGGAAAATAATTTCCCGCTCAACCTACCTTGTGTGAAATGAGGTTAAGAAGTAATATGGATTGATTGAAACCACTGTAAGATATATGAGGGGGGAGGACGTAATTTTTCAAAAAAACACACACTCGTAGCAAAGAACAAGAGCTGTTAACTGTTTGTGCACCAAATACAAACACAAGAAGCTGACAGACAACAGTCGTTATATTTCATTGTTTTGTCAAGATAGAATATGGAAAATAGCAGATAGGCACCAAACCTCAGCCTTTTTTCGATGACACTTCACAGTCTTTTACAACTGCTTACACACAAAATCTTTTCATGTCACATGATGGTTAAAACTTTTCACTCAGAGCAAAACCGCATCTCAAATCTCCAAAACCAGAAGCTGTTTCTCAGCCTTACACTCAGTTTTCAACTGCATAAAACACTTTTATCAAAACACCACACACAATTCTCTATCTAAGACACAAAAAGGAAGTGACCTGCTTTCCTTTTCCAAACACAACCAAAGAAAATGCAACACTAGATCACACAGCCACTCCTCACATGTGCAAACACTAACTGCTTAACTGATCACTAACTGAATTAGTATACAGCAGAACTATACATAGCAAGGGGAGAAGGAGGGAGAGGCAGGGGACGACAACGAGGACAAGTTCGAGGAGGAAGAGTTGGAAGAAGAGGAGGAGGACAAAGACGAGGACACACTTATTGATCATGTGATCAACCACAGGCTGACAGTGAGAGAAGCTGGACTGAGAGTCAAGCCCAATTTGAGTTGCTTTACAGTGGTGACCGTAATTTGAACCTAAAGAAATTAGAACAGGTTATAACAATGTAATGGTTAATGTAAAATAAGTATTATTGTTTGGCAATAAAAGTAAAAATTATATATATATGTTTATGGTTTCCTTCCTGTATTTAGTGGCTAGGAAAATATACCCCGAGGATAAGTTAATTTTAATGCTAAAACTCAGTTAGGAAAACTCCCCAAAAAAATCTTCAACAGGAAAAAAGGAATAAAACCTCAGAAACCAAAAAACTCACAACAACTATTCACTGGCATCGTCATTTAAAAGTTACAGTTTGGTTAACATCTGACTTGCATAATTGCCTATTTAAAAAAGGTAAAGAGGGTTGATTTCCTGTATACTCCAAAAATGAAAAAACTCCAATGATGATCTTCCTATGAACGGAGAGACGATTAGTTTGAAATGTTTACCAATAACAGATTTAATATACATTGAACTGCAGACAGATTATCTAGGTAAAGGTTAAATGACAGTATTGCAAAGCCCAAAGGTGAAACCAACCACACAGCAGATTATTGTGTTTTTCTTTATAGAATTTAATGGTAATGAAAATAGTTACAGGTTACAACAATAGAGGGGATATCAATTAAGCAAGTTTAATTAGAATCAATAAAAATATAAAATAAAATAAATAAGAATTTTTTTTGCGTTGTTAAGATTATTTAAAATCTTTTGAGTCAGAGAACAAACTCAAACCGAAGCAACAAACCAACAGCAATCATTTTACAGCAAAAATCAACAGTATTTTGTATTTTCTTTCTGTAGAACAGAATTTCCATTTACAGGCTAGTCTGCAACAACATAACCAGAGATTAAAAAACAAACTAAAATATAACAGGAAGTAAAATTAGAGTGATTTGAACTACAGAGTCACTTTCAATAATATTTTGCATATTTCAAAACAAACTATTGGACAAACTGTTGCAAGTGACTGTACCTGCAGCTGATTCTGTCTTCACATTCGAGTAAAGGGAGCTCTCCTCTGGTTCATTATGCTGCCCTGTAAAGATGAGCAGATGCATCAAAAGATGAGTTAATACTGTCTTTTATTTAGGAATCACTGACCTGATGAATATTTTGACTATAATATTTATTGTTTGTATACTCACCTTTATTACTACTGTGTTTAAGCTGAATCAACGAGTATGTGACATAGCTGGATTCATCTGCATCTGAAATATACCTTTTCTTAACTTACAGAATTGTCAGTTATGATAACTCTTCTCTAATATTCTTCTCTGTGTAAATAAATAAAATTTACCTACCATTTTCAGTGTTTTCTGAGCCTCTGATTGATTCAGAGAGACAAGCATCACCTGAAAATCAAGTCACGGTAAAATTGATCATTTCAACTTTAGGATACAAACTAAGCTGCTACTTTTCTGATGAATATACTCAAATATATTGTAAGATTGTCTTAAAGATATAAATATGTGCAAAAGACATTGATGTTTAGACTCTTTGAGTTATTTGAATTGGGTAATGTCAAAGGTGTAACTCAAATTGCATTAAATGTATTTTATACCATAAAGCAATGATACTATTATTTTAATGGTTGAGCTAATAATATGTGTTTTTTTCTGTCTCATAGTTTAACATCATTTCAGCTAGAGACAATGTAAACAATGACTATAACCAATTTTCAGTTCTGATCTTTTGTGCTTGTAGTAGATGAGTTTATTATATTCCAATCCTTTTTGACAAATTGACTAACTAAAAAGTTCATTTGGTTCAATGTCATAAACATGAAATGATAAATGGATCTGGATAATTTTTAAGGCTGACCATGCAGATGAGAGTAGTGCACTGTAGTTTCATTCTGGTAAACCACTTGATCTGGAGCAGAGCCCTGATTGGTTCTCTGTGGGGTCCTAAAATATAATAAAAAAACATATATATATATATATATATATATATATATATAACAATATATATAAAATTTAGTAAATTCAGTAAATTGAATAAGGAACATTTAGTGCCTAATAGAGAAGAGAAGTCTACCCACTTGGCAAAATTTGAATCTGTAAAAAAAATAAAATGTTGTTACATTATTTTGTTTTGGCACTGAATTCAATAATGACTTTGAATAGTCAGATTATAAACCATCAAGCATCAGCAGGAAAAAGTCTCACCCTTTGACTTTCTGTAGCAACACAACAGCAGCAGAAGAATAATCAGTAAACTTCCACAAACTGGCCGAACAATCAACAGCAGAAGAAATGAAGAGTCATCAGGCGCTGCTGTAATAAAAGGTAAGTATTAATAAATGTTATTTGTAGTTGAGTGCTTTCACAAACAAAAGAGGTCACAAGTTAGTAAATCTAAATTAGAAGAAACCATGTAAAAGACTTCACAAGTGGACCCACATCCAGGATCAAGTGGGCCACATGTTCAAAAACAGACCAGTTACAAAAATTATATGTGGAAGGAAAAAAAAACTACACACACTACACACATGTGCGTACACATACATTAACACCTTATACTTCACAAATAAATAATAATAATAAAAAACATACATGTACACATAAATATACAAGTGTATACTTAAGAGCACACATGCTTACACACAGTATACACATAGTATATAGTATAAATTGTACATAAATGAATGTTCAAATCAAATGTCCAAATGTACATCCATGCAAGTGCAGTACACAATTAACACTTACTGTACATACCTGTGCACATACGTAATTATTGTTAGACTGTGTGATATTAGACATTCACAGTACATTAGAACCTCCTGTTTTAGTTTTCTAATTAGAGTATTTGTATTAAGTAAGTATTTGACAACCTCTTTTTATCTCAGATTGTGACATAGCTTCTGAAAAAGGAAGTTTTAAAGAAACAGATGTGGTGACACATTTCCTGAGTATTTCCACTAAGCCTTCGTCTGACTTTGACACTGCAGCAATATTCAGCCCCTCTCCTGTCATTTTGGATGAGACATCCATTTCGGTAGAAAAATATATTAGAATCTGATGTCCCTGTCCTCAGTTTGCAGCCAAGACCAACAGACTGTCCCTCAGTCACAGGATGGACAGGATTCACCATCTTTATCTGTGAAACAGTCAAATAATATCAAGTCGTTGCAAACCTTTTCATCGCTCATACACTTCTGCTGTTACTCTTACATAACCAAAGGTGATGGAGGTTTATAGTCACTGTGGCGTCAATTAATGACTGACAAAAAGAGAAGTTGCGACTGATGCTCTGATCAGATCAGGTAAAATTGCAATATTAATTCATCATTTCAGATATTTACAAATAAGCAGCAATTGCTCTTTATTATTTATTAATGGTGTGCAATTCTGGAGAAATCCAACACCATGAAACATCCATGCAATAGAGCGAACCATTACAAAGCAAGTAATGTAACTAATGTTAGCTTAGTTGTGGGTTAGCAAACTGTCGCCACAACTGCTGCTATGAAGCTAACGTGCACAGAGGACGAGGCAGTCCCAGAGCCAGCACAATAACTCCAGACAGATACAGCTAACATCACACCAACAGCTATGTTGGTGTACTAGAGAGTAAGTTGAATGTCCGTGGGCAGGTCAGAAATCATGGCTGGAACAGCTGGAAAAGTCTTGTGTGGCTCGGTCCAAGTCATTTTATTTGTTTCCCATTTACAGAACCTGGGCTGGGTACAAACACCAGATTGTTTTTCAGCACACACATAGAACCGACAGCTAGTGGACCGTGAGGAGATATTTGTTGAATTTGACAAAAAGACTTGTATTGGATTAGAATCACATACCCAAAATTTAATTGGTTAATGTTACACAAATGCCATTGAGGATCAATATGTCCTAATTCTTTGATAATAAGAGGTCTAATAATAAACACTGTGAAGGGCAGAAAAACTGATTTCATGGCGGGTTCCATGTCTCTCCTTAAAATTTCACTGCATTGGTTATATAATATAACCAAAAAATATAATCACCTATAAAATCTGAATATAAGATGTTAAATTATGTTATTGTGAAATTTGAAGAATTAAAACAAAAAAGGAATTACTTTGTACGGTGATGTTGACCGCGTTACTGAATTGAGCTGATTCAGACTCACACCAGTACACTGCAGTTTTGTTTGGAAGTTCGTTGATGTTGCATGTGGATCCAGTCATTGTTCCCCACTTAGAACAGTTTGACAGATGGCCGGCTTTAGTGAACCTCCTCACTCTCCACTTAGAAGAGTTTCCCTCACAGCTCAGTGAGACAGGCTCAGAGGAAAAGTGCTGCTCTCTGTCAGGACTCACTCTGACTGTTGCTGGATGAAAATCTGAAAAATAATTAATGAGGTGTCAAAACAAACACAGAGATATCATGACATTGACAGCAGCACAGTGGAAATGATCTTTTGACTGTCTTAATATTAATTACAGTGGTTGCTCTCCAACTCATCCATTTACAAATCGCTTTTTACCAGCTGCCTTTCAGTTCCAAATGGGGTCAGTATGTGATAATGAAAATCTAGACTGTATTTTCTTTTTACACATAGTTTTCCGTTCAGTTATTTTAATCTCCTAGTTGTACCCATATGCCTGTTTATTTGTTGCAGGCGCCACATTTGCCACCTGTCCATGTGCCTGTCTGACCACAAATCAGTGTCTTTTAAACCTGCAGTGCAGAACTTTTGTTTTTCCTTTCCAGCAGTGAGAGTAACCCAAACACTGTTGATGAATGATGATGACGTATGCCTCTGCTATACTCTGTAACCTACTCCTTCGCTAGGTAGCTACATGACTAATTGTGGGGGCAGAATATAGGAAAGAAAAGGAGGAAAGAAAGGCACTAACACACTGACCTTTAGACCAGACAAACATAGTGTTACTATAATTAGTGTAGTTCACTGGATCTCCTCTTCCAGCTCTGCACTTATATCCTGCTGTGTGTGTCTGTCCATGAACAATGTAGGAATCCTGTTCAGTCCCGTTGCTTCTGCCAGGTAGCAGCTCTTGGTCGTAGTAGTTGCCTGATAGTTTGGGAACAGCCTTAAACCAGAAGAACCTCCATCCTGCAGATGGATCTTTAACACTGCAGCTCAGAGTTACTGAGGCTCCAGGACTCAGCCAGGATGGAGACACAGTGAGGACAGGTTTGGTTTTATTTGCTGGAAATAGATATCCCAGAATTAAAACTCTTTTCTTGTTTATGGATTGAGTGCAGTTTGGATCCTGCACATTTAACACATTTACCTCGAAACATTAAATGCATTCTTCATGTCCATTTATCCTCCTGGTTTACATCATTATCTGCGTGAAAGAGTTTAGTTCCTTTTTTAACTTAGCCAGACTAGTTATCATGAGCAAAATGGGTGGCAATAAACCACTGCTAAATGTAATGTTTTCAAAATATGAAATCATAATCACTACCACAATTAACACTGAGTTTAGAAAAAGTCTCACTTAATAATAATTTATATGTTTGCTAAATAAGTACATTTCCACATAATTTAAAAGCAGATCTATACTCACTAGCCTGTGTGTTTGCTACGTTGCTGGAATATGAAAGTTAACACTCTCAAGCACTTTATAGTCATATTCTCCTTTGTGTTGATACAAATGCACTAAAATGATGCACATGTTGATAATAAATGAATAAAGACAGATGATGTGATTAAGAGTGATGCAGAAAAAGGGAGATTGTGCAATCACCTTCAGCATGTCCAGAGTGGAGGAGTGTATTCAGCACTAAAATAAAGATTGATATTTCATCAGATATTTTCACACTCAAACTGTCAAAATGAGAATAAACAAAGTCATTTAAAACAAAAAACAACTGTGGTTAGATAATGTCTAATATCAAATCTCAATCAACATTATCACAACACAGTCTTCCACTTTAAAGTCAGTCACCAGCCAAGAAACAAAAAGAAAATATTTAAAATATGTGTAGGTCTATAGTAAGCTAGAGTAACCAAATTTACCCGCTGGATATCAATAAAGGTTTATCTCATCTTATAAATACAGTATTAAATCATCATTGCTGACGAAACAACAGTGTCACAACACACACATACACATTAAACAGAAACCTACAGTTTCTAGACAACCCGTGATGCTGTGAATGCAACATAAAGTGTTTTTAGTAAGAACGAAAAGAGTACGTCAGTGATGTACTCACAGAATAACCCCAGCACACAGAACAAAGTATGTCCCATCTTCACATCCAAAACTGAAACACTACTTTAAAGCTTGAAAGCATACATTATGAGGAAGACTAAGAGGAAGCTGTGTCAGTAAAGAAGTTATTCATATCATATCAATATGATCTCACAGGCTGACAACAAATAATGTTTCTAAGAATAATCCACTCCTCCTTCCTTCCCCTTTTCACAAAGCTCACGCAAGTACAACCACTTCCTGCTCAGGCAAGGCAATTTAACTTGAGTCTTGTATATAGTCCCTGCTAAAAATAGAACAGTCACTTTGCACTTTTCATATCATATTAAAGAGAAAACAATGTTGGAATTGCACAGCTACGTTTTATGAATGGCAGTATCATATTTTTGAATAAACAATAAAATGTATACATATAACTATGGATGTAAACACTCCGACGTACAGCTGATCACCTTCTGCCACATCATCATACAAATATACAGCCAATCACGTTATGTGACGTTACCTGCAGGCCCAGGCCCCCGTGCAGTTCTGACCACCCGATCACATCTGGTACCTACACCGGCTCCATCTAGCTCCGTGTGTCGTACAACAGAGCTGCTGGTAGAAAAAGCTGTTCAAAACAGGAGGAAATCTGACGTTCTATCTCACACAGGCGCCGCCCTCTACTGGACACTGCTTTTTATATTTAGGCACATACGGTAGCAACGTCCAATTGTTCGGCTACTTACAGAATGCAAATTTCAGTGGGTGAGTACGTGCGTGTGAAAGGAGGAGAGATATTACCCATAGAGTCCAGTAGAGGGCGGAGCCTGTGCTAATAGAAATAGGGTCACCATATCGTAACCTTCATTTTTGCTAACAGGGATTTCTTTTAAATACTTTAATCTTGTTATTTGAAGCTGTGGCCATGTTTAACACATACATCCAACGTTGTAATATTCTCGATAAGTCATAAAATATGGAAAAGCATAACAGGTGTCCTTTAACATCCTTAGCCACAATATCACAATACCCGCAATAATCAAAATTGATCTCACCCATGGGACGCTCTTGCAGAGGTCTGGAATGAAAAAGCTTCAACATGTTCACATGACATTTTTGTCGAACCCCTCTTCATACAAATCTGTGAGGAAGAAAGTGACTCCTTCGCCAACTCAGCAGCATGGTGTAACTGTTCCCTGCACAGAGGCAACACAGCCCAACACATGAGTTTTGGAAGACACATCACACACCATCTTCTCTCAATGCTTTTAATGGGCCACATACGTTTTGGCCAAACACAAGCTCAGCTGGGCTAAACCCTGTAGTGGGATCAACCAGCCTCTCACCTCAAGGAGGAGGTGAGTTCAGATCTTGCCAAAAAGTCTGGGGAAGTTTTCCTCCCCTGGAGTTGGCCTTTTGACGTGCAAAACAAGAGACATCGCCTGGTGTTTTGGTAAGGACCTGCAGAGACTTAATCAGACATGTATCCTTTAGTGACATATGAAGATTAGAGAATCATAAGAAAGTAAGAGTTTCATAATTTCCTTTTGTTTTGTTTTAATTTCTCCCTATTATTCCCTAGTAATCACTGTCTGTTTAGTATTAACTAATGCTTTAGCTAAATGTTTTGTATACAATTTCTTATTAAAACGTTCATCTGCATACTCCTCGTGTATATAATCCGCTTCCCAGTTCCCAGTTCAAGTGGTGACTCTCAAAGTTGAATATCTGTCCTCTCATAGAAACCGCTCTCCACCAAGAGGACAGAAAAAGGTATAACACAAAAGCGTTTATAACTCTGCTTACACCGACAATGAGCGCCAAATATCTATCACGATGTCACTGTATAATGGATTCTTTGCTGCAATGCTTACATCTATTTTGTCTCTTGAGTTAAAACATGTAACCATCAAGTTTACACGTGAAACATGTAGTTAAGCTTTGTTACGCCTTTTATTACAGTTTTTTATCAATTGTTTACACACAAATTCTGGTACTTGAGACACAATGACCACAACATGTAACTCATTCACCAACCCCCTGGACCAATTCTGCTAAACTACAAGCACAATTCCTGCTTTACACTCAAATTGCAGTTCTAAAACACACTTTTTTCAAAACACGACACACAATTCTCTGCTTTTGGCACAAGTTTCATGCTGAAAATATCTTGTTTTCACAAGGAACACACTGCCATTCAAATATGCACACTGACTCATCACAAGGGCAAACACCCGTCACACAGTTTTCCAATTAGCAATCAGAGCTTTAGCATAAAAGGGCAACAGGTGAGCTCTTCAATGGAGCAATGCCAACATTGGAAACAGAGGCAGAGCCAGAGGAGTGAGAGGAAGAGGAAGAGGAAGAGGAAGAGGAAGAGGAAGAGGAAGACGACGACGACGACGACGACGACGGTTAATCTCTGATGAGACCGAGCCACTTTGGTTGATCATGTGGTCAACCATGGTCTAACAATGAGGGAGGCTGGGCAAAGAGTACAGCCAAATCTGAGCAGGTACACTGTAGTATCCATCATCCGGACTTTCCGAAATGAGAATAGGTAAGAAATCTACTCTCACTAGCAAAATGCAGTACTGCATATCAATACAGTACTCAATGAGTATTGCCTGTGGACTGTTCTGTAGGACTGTAAAAATACTGTAAAGTATATTTCAAGTATTTAGGAAATGTATACCTACTTTGTATTTACAGTATTTTACTATTTGTTTGGCAGAACTGAAAGATTACCAACACAAAAACCTCTTCTGTCTCCTGAACAGGAAACTGAAATCATAAACATGGTCCTAGAAAACAACACCATAACATTACAGCAAATACAATGAAAAATAATAGAAAACAATGACATATTTCAAAATTTTGATAGGGTAAGCTTATCAACACTGGACCGTGCCTTGCGCAGAAATCATCTCAGGATGAAGCAGGTCTACAGGGTGCCATTTGAACACAATTCAAGAATTGCAATATTACTATGTGTAAGTGAGTCCCACAATTGATGCATACACTCAACACTGTATACAGTAAATTATACATATTTCAATATTGTAATCATAATGATTGTGCTTCACAATAGTGACCACTCCATGTCTCTTTCTGATATTGTCATGTGTGTTTCAGAGAGTCCTTGAGCTAGAGGTGGCTGCAGTGGAGCACCAGTTCATCTTCATTGATGAGGTTGGGTTCAACCTCACAAAAAGACGAAAGAAGGGAAGGAATGTCATCGGCCAGCGTGCCATTGTTGAAGTCCCTGGCCAGCGCGGAGGGAACATCACAATGTGTGCAGCGATTACCCACCACGGCGTCATCCATCACCATGCTACCCTTGGCCCCTACAACACAGCCCATCTGATCACATTCCTGGACACCCTACACAACACGCTCATTCCACCAGATCAGGTAGACGGCCCAGAGCAGCTCAGGTACGTTGGGACAGCGTAAGTTTCCACAGGGCTGCTCTGGTTCTTATCTAGTTCACTGTCCACCCACGCTTTTTAGTTTATCTCCCTCCATATTCTCCATTCCTCAATCCTATTGAGGAATCTTTTTCTGACTGTAGATGGAAAGTGTGTGACCAAAATCCACAAACGCATATACCTCTTCTCCAAGCTGTGGAGATACAGCAGCTGATGCTTTTCATGGCTGGAATCGCCATGCTAGGCGATATTTCCCCCACTGCTTGGCCAGGGAAAACATTGCTTGTGATGTGGCTGAGGTGCTGTGGCCAGACCGCAACAGAAGAGAGGATGCAGCATAGTTTGTTTTTTGTTTGTTTTAATGTAACTGTGTACAGTAAATTCTTCTGTTGTTTTGTATGTAGTGTGTGTGCAACTTTGTGTTGGTTGGGAATGGGATGTACACTGTGTACATTGTTTTTGTGGGACAAATAAAATATATTTGTTACCGTGTATTTGTGTGTTCTGAGTATAAAAACAATATTCTCAAATATTTTACAACACACTTGTCTGTAGTAAGTGTAACACTGAACAAAAAAAAGGCCTAAGTCATTATGATGAATGGAGAAGAAGTGTTTTACATTGAGAACATCAGTGTTCAGCTGGTTCTTATGAATGTCTATTCATATGATTTGTGTCATTTGAAAACAAAATACCATTTTGAGAAGAAATAATATTGTTTTGAATGTAAAGTTTCCTTTTGCAGGAGAATTGAGGGGTTTTGCCCATTGTGTGTGTTTTTTGATTTGTGTGTAGAGTTCTGAGAATGAGGCATTCTTTCAGAAAATGTCTGTAAACAATCGAGGAAAAACTGTAAGTATATAACAATTAAGAAACAATTAACCTTCTAGTGTTTAATCTTGTTTTACTTGTCTTTATCTAAATGTTTAGAACTAAGTATTTTTCTAATGTTATTGTGGAGAGAGAGAGAGATTAAATGGAAAATACGCGCTATATATTTTTTTCTTTATCCCACTAAAAGTTAACACTTTTGAGGCCAAAGGGTGACTCCTCTAGGGATACCCACTAACCAAAATGACGTCACCACGTCCCAAAAAAGTTCTTGAAACCCCATTTTTCTTAGTGGGAGATTTTGACTTTTGTTTGGAGCTGCCTGGGATCAAACTATCCCCAGACTTTGTTTAAACTCAGCAACATTAAATAGCCTATATTCCCGGGGCCTCGCGAACCTACAAGAATCTAAGTGTCTTATTTGATTTTGTTGTTTTAACACTATCCAATCGTTCTAAATAACTTTTGACCCAGAAACCCAGAAGCCCGTTCAATTCTCGAGTTGAACGAAGTCATGGCTCCAACAAGAGAGTCTGGAGTGTGTTCTGCCGAGCTATAGCGACACCAAACAAACTCCAGTTTGGTGTCGCCAGTTGCCCATTACTGCAAGCGTTTTCCCGCAAAGGACTCCGGAGCAATTCCATCGGTTTGAACCCAACTTGAGACGCCACTGGGGTGCCACCCAACCTGGCCAGGACAACATCCACGAGCCCAACCGGCAGTGAGCCTTTGCTATGGGGAATTACCACAAAAGTAAGGCAAAACAAACCACACGCTGACGTGACTCGTTGGTGTCCTCTAGTTGGCCCTCATCTAT